AACTGAGCAAAAATAATAATGAAAATTATAATACTCCCAGTAATTCAGTGGGTATATGTGTGAGTGGGATGATTATTTAGCATGTCTAGAGGTAAAGGGAAAACCATTTCGTATTTCTCAAAATGCTTTAACCTGATGCTTTAATATTAGAAATACAAACTAAAACAAGGATTTTGTTGTCTGTGAATAGGGGTGTGAAGAGATTTTGGGATTTCAGTGAAATGCAGGTTTTGATGATTCTGAATACACATATTCTTCCGCTATGTGAAAGGTACTTAAATAGAGCCAAACACAAAGGGGTGGGGAAAACACCTTATTAAAATCAGATGTTTGCTGGTCTTATGTAAGGGCTTTTCCTTTGTGAAGATATAAAACGTGTGAGAGACTCCTTACGTTGTCTTACTGATTTGTTTTCTCTTCACTATCAGGTCTACATTAAAGGAGTAGAAATAAATGCAGTGTGAAAATGTAACGTACAGTGATGGCCTTTAACTATCTTTCTTTCCCTCGCTTCCTTTACTTTCTGTGCTGTCTGCAAAGTTAGTGGAGCTTATGAGTCATCATCTTGTAGAAACAGCAAGTGGTGAGTCATTTCTTAGGAGTTTTAGGGAGTTGTACGTGGCATTTCAAGCACATAAAGTATTTAACCCGTAATTATCCCTTAGCCGTTAATAGTAACATATATGATGTTTTTCTATTTCCACAAATGTACTTAGCATTATTATATGTGTGTGTGGGGGGGAGGAGAGTTTCTGACAGATTATTCACACACAATTAGTGATTTTCTTTTCTTTTTACATTTTGAAGTTTTATTAGCCTTTACAGTTACAACTAGAATTTTGGAAAAAGTGTTTTTCTAATTTTTTTTCCTTAATACTTCCACAAGCACCCTTTTATTGTTGCTATAATAGGTTTGCCAGTGCATTACCAATTCAAATATATAAAGCAATTCCTCTGGGTTCATGCTACTGGTAACCACAAAAACAAAACAAAATTATGTTTCTTACAGGTAGTCAAATTGTTTAAAAGGTACACGACGTTTTCCTTATTTCATAAGAGTGTTACTGTGTAGAAAGATTCCATTCCATTTCCATTACCCATGTTGCAAATACAAATAGAAAAAAAATTTTTGAATAATTATCTTTTCCCTTCTCACCTGACAAAATATACATGATCTTAGAAGGCTGGTCTACATGTCAAGATTGATTTGTAATTATATCAATCAATTCACTAGTTAGTAACTAATTAATTAGTTCAATACATATTTACGATAGGTGCCCAAAATATAGATAGGAATTTTCTCAAATAGTTAGATTAGGTAATCATCCTACTTCAGGATATGTTGATTTCATTGAAAACAGAATTGAGAATTTAGGAAGTGTTATAAAAAACTGACAATCTTGAAAAAGTATTTTCACTGACTTTTCTAAACCTAACATATAAGTAAGTACCTGAAATATCTATGAGGATAAGAGGAAAAAGAAGAAAACACTAAAATGTAGCCTGACTGAACCGGAATGCTGTGGGAGAGTTCATACCTGTGCACAGTTTAATGGAAACATCATACAATATTTTGTAAGATTTCAGGAAGGATAAAAATGAATCACCAGTGATGTTACCAGAACTAATTTGCATCAGGTGAGAAATTTCTTATGGTACCTGTTCCGTCATAGTTACTAGTCCATTAATCCTTTTAATTTATAGTTCTGGTTTATTGTTCAAATACTCTAAATGTCAAGGATCTATTTGTATCAAAGTTTAGATAAAATTGTTCCTATATATATGAATTACTGTAAATAGATAGGCCTTCCTGCAATGCCAATACTTATTTTGAATAAGTATCTCAATTTCTTTGTTTGAAATTATGGGTCATTCTAGAGCTCCATTTCTTTTATATTTCTTATTTACATCAAGAAGCTATATCCAAGCACAAAAAGCCTTTTATTCTGAAGGCAGGAGGAATGCTGGTGAAGTATAAATAGAGAATTATTCAGCACTATATAACATTAGAATTTACAAATATGCATTAATTGTCACAAGAATTCCGACGGGTAGGCAGCCTAGATAACATTACCCCCATTTTACAAAAGTGGAAATAGGTTCAGAAAAATTAAATGTGTTACCAAGGTCACATAGTAATTGTGATGGAGCTGAGATTCAAATGGAAAGTTATTTTTTTAAAAAATTTTGTTCTCTTTTGTTTTGAAATTTAAACATTTTTCATTTTAAACCTGTGTAAGGGGAAAAAAAGGTGTCAATCCTTGGTATCAGGACTGGAGCAGAGAGTACTGCATATTTGAAAATCCATTGCATACTACTCCCTCAAAAAAAAAAAAAAAAAAAAAGGAAACTGTGCAAACTAAAGAGAGAGAGAGAAAAAAAATCTGTCCTCCGGTTCCTTTTCCTTTGGGTTGTCAGCTATGAGTTGGCTTGGTGAGTAGTTTTGCAAGACTTGTTTCACTTTGTTTTGGGCAAGACTGAGCCTTGTATTTCAAACAAAAGACAGCCAGTTACTAACTTCTGGTTGCTGGGTGTGGTCTCCTTTCAAGTTCTATAAAACCAGGAGCCCAAGGCGTCAGGGCCAGTGTGAGACTTTCAGACAAGAATCTCCCTTTAGTTCTCTGTAAGAAGGCAGGAAGCAAAGGTAAGTCTTGGCTTTTCTTTTAGTTGGTTTTGGTTGCTTTGAAAACTCTTCCCATCATGATGTTACATATTACTGCTTCTGTAAGATTTATGGCTAATTGTGTTTGGTATGTTTTGATAAATCTTTTCGTAAAATTACATGGGGTATTTGTATTTGGGGAATCACAAATGGTAGTGTTTTATTTTACTTAGTTAAATATAATTTTAAAGTATTACTTTGATTAATACTGACTTGTTATACTGTTGGTGAGTTGCCATGGAAAAGAAGGAAAGAATGTGTTTCTTCCTGCAAGTTGTGAGTTTCCGAGAGCGTTGTGTGCCCCACATGGAAATCATGATGTAGGTGGGGTGCCTGTGGGGAAGGAGTCAGGCCAGGGTGGGTTTCAGGGAACTGTTTCTAAATTGCATGGTTGACATCATTTATTTTCTTTTGTAAGCAAAACATAATAGATTCCGGCCTCATAGTGGTATCATGCCCTTTGTAATTAACACTTTGAAATTAATGTTAGTTTTACTCATGCCATGTAAATAAATAATAAGAGGATCTGCTTATTAATCAGGTCATTTAAGAAGGGTGTGGATGCCTTCTTATTCCTGTAGTGTCTGTGTCATAGGCAGGCTTTCAAGTGCTGATCAGGAAACCTAAGGGGAAGGAAGCATTTTTTGAGGGTGTCAGGTAGATAAATCATCCCTTGGGAAAACCAGATGAGCCATCTAAAAGTTATTCTACTGAGTAGCATCTTGATTGTTGAATGAGCTAATGGCCATACCACTCCTTACAAAAGCACAACCCAAATCTAAAGTAGAGTGTTTACTGGTGTTGGATACATTTTCAAAAGGAATAGATTTTTAATCATAACCATATATCTGGCTATTGTTCATTACAAATTTTCCTTAAAGAATTTTTCTCTTAGCCCATTTTGAATGTTAAATTAAATGCCCCATATCTACTTTTTAATGCTAGCTCATCAAGAAAGGTGTTTTTTTTTTCTTGACTCGTTTATGTCTGAAATTATATATGGATTTTGAAAAAGTAATACTTATATTCCCCCTCCGCCTGCACGAATGTATTTTTGGTGCCTAGAAGAGAAGGGCCATTGCAAAATGATTCACATGTGGTAAAAGGCTAGTTTCAACATTCTGAAATGGCCTCTTCTCTAGAAGTTGGTCAACACCCTAGCCCCGGGTGCTAACTACATCTGGCAGCTCCCCAACATTTGACTGATGTTGTCAAAACAGTCAATCATAACATTATTAAGGAACCAGCTAGAGTCTCATGCTTATTAAATACGTTTTCACTCAAAAGATCTGCAAAGGTTGTAGATGACATAAGCTTGCTGAGCTGATTGCTCTTAATCCTCTCTAGACCCATTAATTTATGACTTATTTTACAAATCAGCTAAAGCAATGGGCCTATTCTTTTCCAGTGATAAATCAAAAGCAGTTTTTGAAGTAAATGAGTTCATCTTTCTTTACAATGGAATCATTTTTTATCAGAAAGGTCAGAACAGACAGAATTTATATAATATCTTCATTAAGCTAATTTTTCCACTTCCATCCTTTTGAGGTAAAGTTTAAGTTTGGCACTTCAGTGCTATCATGCATTTTAGATACTATTTATTCCAACACTCCTATTTTTACAAATGAAGACCCCTAGAGACCTTAAATGTTTTCTTGAAGTCCTATAGTCAGCTAAAGAGAATCAAAATAGGGCTTAGAACTCCTCTATTCTCATTTTTATATTCTATAATTATGGGTAGAAACATTTGTTAAATTAGCATAGATAAGTTTCCTAAATAATTAACACTCATACACTGTTTATTCACTCAATAATACTTATTTAGCATATTAAATACCAGGCATTTTGGCCCAGACTGGAGGGACTGAATCAATAGTAGATTAGCATTGCCTTCATGTAATGCTGCTGTAAAAAGAAACATAAATAGGAAGTGATAATACAGAATGGTAGGGGCTCCCGTAGGGTAAAAGCAAGATGTTTGGGGAGAGCCCAGGACTAATACAGGCTTTCCGGAGGATGTAGTGAGGTCCATGGTGTACTCCTGACTTACAAAGGGCTGTGGGCGTGGAGGAGAAAACAGCATTCCAAGCAAAGGGAACACCCTACTCAAAGGCCTGGAAGCAAAACATTTGTGAGACTACTTTTCATAAAGTGGTTCTTCATAAGCCATGCTATTGTAAGGCCTAATTACCTTCTCCCACAGAGGTAGGTGTGAAAAGAATGTGAAATATAACCCAGCTGTTAATAGTTCACCACATTTGCTTTGTCATTAATCCTTCCCCTTCCTCCTTCTACCCTCTTTAGATATCTTTTTTCTGTAACATTTGAGAGAACATTGCAGATATGATGTCCCTATGCCTCCAAATACTTCTGCCTGGATAAATTAAAAAATAAGGATACAACCATAGTGCAATTTTTTAAAAATCAGGCAATTAACCTCATGCAACAAGCCTAGTGTTCTCAAATTGTCTAGTGGGTACAATTGCTAATGTACCATTTCTGGAATACCTTTTTCTTAATTTAGTAAGCATAGATCCCTCTAAAACCTTGGGCATACTTTTTGTGCATACTTCCCTTCTTTAATTCCTTGCTAAATGAGATGAAGAGAGCTCTCTTTGGACACAGGTATATACAAAAAATGCTAATCTCTATAAAGCTACGCACATTTATACACGGATAAATGAAATTGGTAGGTTAGTGTATGATCACTAACCAGATAAATTCTTGTTAATTTCCATGTAGCTCAGCCTATGTATAAATGGCCAACTTCATCTTCAAATAAGATGAAGGCAAGCCCCGAACAGGCAGAATGGTCTGGCTGAAGTTTTCGGCCAAAATGTTTTTGCTGTGGAATTTGTAAGGTGTGTTGCCATTGCTATGCATTTCTGTTTGAACATGCAGTTGACTTCGGTAGTAGTGCATGGCAATTCCTAAAATTCTTTCAGAGCGATTTCTGACGTCTTATCAAAATCCTTGTTTCTCTAAGCTTCGCTCAGAGCTACTGGATCTCGTTTAGCTCAGTTGAGATTCCATTCTCCTCCAGTTGCCTTCATGAGATGCGTCCTCCTTAGGCGGCTTTTCTTTGGAAAGCCACCCAAATCATTTCACACGGCAGTTTAGGAACTCAGGAGAGGTGATAAAGCTGTTTCCTCTGTGGACACTGTTATGTCAAACAAATCATGCAACCCCTTTTTTATTTTGTGTTATCTAATTAATAGAGCGATCACATGTTCTTATACTTTCTCAAGTTTATATTTTAAGAAAGCGATGTGTTATGTAAGCATCATTTTAAAGTGACAAAAACGGGTGAAGTAGGGGAAAGTTCTCATAAAATTCATTTTCTAGTTGTGAGTCTCATGTTAAAAATTATGTATATGACAATAGCCTTCATTTTTACCTCTTCTGAAGTTTTTATTTTCTAATTGAAAAGAGTAGAAATATTCAAACATGTGTTTCTGTAACTGGAAAAGTACTTTCTTTTGAAGACTCATGAGTGATCACATCACACATTTTGAGGATTCTACTTTCTGAAAGGCTTGGATGAGATGATAAAAATGGAAATTTCGAATACCTGAAACCTTGCCAGAAATTGCTAGATGTTTTTGATGCGCCAGTGAAACGATAGGAAAAGGAAATTCTCTAAATGCCAAGGGCAACGGCTCCAGATTATGTCTGTAACAGGAATTAAACCCTGGTGCAAAATTGTACAGCGTGACTTTACCTGAGGAAATAGCTCTAGATTTATCAATTGCTGGGTGGGGGAGTGGAGAGAGATGAAATAAGTGCACAATATATTGTTTCTTCTCCCAGACGACAGAATAGGAATCATAACAATCCCATAACAGTTAAGGGGAGATAGTTTCTGCTTTGGAGATTACTTCCCTCATGCATTTAATCTCATTACCTGGAACTGCAGTTCTTTTCCAGCAGGTGTGGCTTGAAATACTGTCTGAACATGCTGTTAAGGAATCGGGTTACGGTTTCACTCCTCATGAGTCATTTAGCTTCACGTGAAGAATTTGCAGTGGCGTAGATTATCTTTCCCGTCTCCCTCACCAATATTCATGAGGGTAGTGTCCTGAGGGATCAACAAAAGGGCGTGGAGAGATATCAGCGCAGCCCTGGCGCATAGGCTCCTAAAAACAGATGCCCAGACAGAAAGTATCACTGGGGCTTCTTTTGTGGGTAACACGGAAAATACATCAGTCGTTCACACACTTCAGGTTTCCAAAATATTCATGGTTGGTTACATAAAAACACTGCTGAAACACGATAGTAATTCCAGAAATTTCCTTTAAGGTAGAGTTTATAGCAGGGGTGGGCAAACTTTTTGACTCGAGGGCCACAGTGGGTTCTTAAACTGGACTCAGAAGAAGGAGCTGTGGCCGTGTTTCCCCACGTTGCCATGTTAACACTGCTGCTGGTGAAGGAGCGGAGGGAGAGCAAGAGAACCCTCCGCTCTTTCGGCTCCGAGGGCGGATAGAACAGCTGGAATGGACCGGATCCGGCCCGCGGGCCGTAGTTTGCCCACGGCTGTACTAGAGTCTATCTGATGCTAGAGCAGTGGTTCTCAACCGTGGCTGCACATTAGAATCACCTGGGAATCTTTTTAAAATCCTGATCTCTGGGCCTCATCCTCTGGACATTCTGTTTCTTTGTTACTAATTTTGTGGCCGCCCCACCCCATAACAAAGAAATGGAATTTCTGGAGGATGAGGCCCAGAAATCAGGATTTTAAAAAGATTCCCAGGTGATTCTAATGTGCAGCCAAGGTTGAGAGCCATTGTGTTAGAGCAAAACACCAGGTATAAAACAATCCATTTCCCAGTTCTTTGTGTTGGGTGGAAAAACATGTAGGCCTAGTATGTGAACAGCTCAAAAAGGAAAAAAAAAAAATAGGAGCACTCCAATTGCTGAAATAATTTTATACCAAGGAATGGGAAAAAATACTGAATCATGCAGGGGAGAGAAATAGTACCTAGATATCCTTTTATGGATAGAGTTTTAAGTTTCAATCAACTCCTTCAGATTGTCACAGTTTTATTTACCTTGTAAATGTAAATATTATGATCTTTTTGTTCAGGCTTTCTGGGATCCTACATAGATTCTCCAATAGCCTACTAAATGATCTCTAATCTTTCATCTTGCCCATCTCTTAGCCATTCTCTACTAGTATGTTAGAGGAGCAGTCATCTTTTCAACATATAAATAGAATCATATTGCTTTCTTTTAAAAAACCCATTAATTCCTCTCACCCCCCAAAGCTTTAGGGAGACATTGAAACTTCTTTGTTGGAGCTTCTGTCCACCTTTCTAGTTCAGTGAACTTCTCTCTCCCCAAATAGGACACGTGTCTCTCTGTTCTGTTCTTTCACTTTTCGGCCAGGTTGATCTCAGCTCATTTCAAGAGGCCCAGGCCAGCCAACACGTCTTCTAAAAAGTTTCCTTAGCTTTTGTGTTTTCCCACCGAGAGCAACAGGAACTTTAAGTTCATTGAGGCAAGCAGTGATGTTTTGATGTTTTTTTGCACCCCCAGTGCTTGGCAAATAGTTATTGGTCTGTAAATGTAGAGCAATGAAGTGAATCACCAGCCCCTCTCTCCAGCCTATCTGTTGTTTGTAGTAGCCCTCTGATTCCTAAAAGGTAGGGACTGAATAAGCTAAGAAAGAACCAAATTTCTGAGTGGAGATGATGGGTGCCTATTCAAGGGTAAGGTTTTCCTTTTAAAAACTTACACCTCGCATTTTAATTATGCTTCTAAGAGTAATGTCCTGGTAAGTCACGTCAAGGTTACTCTACTATGTCTTGTGTATGTAAGGGAATGGAGTGATGTCTATGTGTGGTGAATTTGTGGTTTGTAAAAGCAACTATCTGTTTTCTTCCCAGAAACTTCTTTAAAAATGGCAATGGTGTCAGAATTCCTCAAGCAGGCCTGGTTCATTGACAATGAAGAGCAGGAATATGTCGTAAGTCAAGTGACAATAAAATAATTTAGTTAAATATTAAAAGGGAAACTAATATGAGTGAACAGACATTAATTTTATCTCTCTCATCCACAGCAAACTATTAAAGGATCCAAAGGTGGTCCTGGGCCAGCAGTGTACCCCTTCCCCAGCTTCAATCCATCCTCGGATGTTGCAGCCTTGCATAACGCTATAATGGCTAAAGGTAACGAAGCCTTCTTCAACAGTCCCCTCCTACTCACTCAGAATGGCTAGTGAAAAACAGACATATGCGGTGGAAAAAGTCTGTTTCATTTTGAAGATCAGACTTATTTATCAAATGAAACTATATTTCCTCTCTTATCACTTAAAAGGAAAAAGGTTAAGTCTGGAGAATCTCTGCTGCCATAACAGATATCCTTACCAGCCCATTTCTAGCATAAACTCAATCCTGAAACCAACACCACTGCTCACAGTGAGGGTTTGAATTAAGACCAAACACTGTCACATGGAGGGTCAGGGCGAGGGTCCTCTTCCTCTCTCATTCATATGAGAAAGCTTCCCTTTGCTCGAGAGTAGTTGCATCTACATAATCCATTTTTCTTAGTTTGTTAATAACTTCATTTGGAGCACCTTGAGAATGAATCATTTCCTGTCGGTTGTTAAAGAGGAACAAAATTGATTTTACAAGGCAAGCCACCCTTTATTTCCAGGTGTGGATGAAGCAACCATCATTGACATTCTAACCAAGAGAACCAACGCACAGCGCCAACAGATCAAAGCAGCTTATCTCCAGGAAAAAGGAAAGGTGGGTTGGAGTGGTAAATTTACATATTTAATTTCAGTTGCATTTGTGTTAAACATGGGTTTTGAAACACGATTACCTAGTTCCTATTACAACTATTGTGACTGGGATTGCGGTATATATCCACGTGATTGCAATCAATTCCGGCAAATTTATTGATTTCATACTTTTGTCCTAGTGGTGTAGGTTCTTTGCAGATGTGTTCTGTATTGGAGACAAGTCTTTAATTTCAACATAACAAACATCAAAATTATTATGGACAATAAGGACTACGTTCTGGTTGAAATGTGTCTTCTGCTAAAATTTAAACCGAGTTAATGCCTAAGTGTACGGTTTATACATATAATTCTACTGTTGATGTAAGAAACATCTAAACATGTAGAGAATTTTTATGAGTTTATTTGAGCCAAACTAATGACAATTGCCAGGAAGTAAAATGTGACATTTTGCAGCTTATTTTATACATTAGAATCAAAGGAGGAGGCATAAGGAGGGATACATGGATTTCATTATATTTAGATTAAGGGGGCAGGATAAAGCAAAAACAGGGAATTCTCTGGGATTGGGTGAAAAGTAAAATGGAGAGACACATACTTGTTTAAGGTGGGTACAGGACAGCTAATTGACAGTTACAGCACACAGCGATGGCATGTGAGGAAGACGATCTAGTGCTCTGGTGGTGGTGGTGGTGGTGGGTGTGCCCTGAGGGGTCTGGAAAAGGTAATTACTCTGACATTTTAGATGCAAAAAACCATTTTACTGGCTCACTTCAGGTCAAGATTGACCTTTGTCAAGGAAGCTGCGGGTCTAGTACCTGACTACCTGCCACAACCTGCTTTTAGTGAGGAAATCGATGTTCTGACTATCCTATGTGGTTCCTTTCTGTCTCTGAGTTTGCAAAGCTCTCCATTCAGGCCTCTCCTGAGCTTGTCAGGTTTAGTATGTGGCCCCTCTTTTGCCCACACTACTTTAAAAGTAAGCTTTGTATTTTTTATACCAAATAAGGGCAGTGTTTCTTAAGGAATGCACTTAGAAAACTATATGTCAGTGTCTGATTATAGTGCTTCTTTGAGCAGTGCAAACCTCAAAAGTTTGGAAAAATTGTTAATACGTTACATATTTTTTTAAGAATTCTTACTACAGTTTCTGCTAATATACAACCCTATGTTTTGAGCTTTATAGTTTCTTACCTGTATAAAAGATTGAGAACCCCGTTCAATAGGGAGGATAAACTGTGATGGAAGGGAACTTGGTTGGGGTGGTGAACATACCACATTACAATAGACAGATGACATATTATAGAATTGTACACCAGAAACCTGTGTAATTTTATTAACTAGTACCACCCCAATAAATTCAATAAAAAATAACTTCACAGCTAAAAAGTAAATAAATGAAAAATTAAAAAAAAATAAGCTATCAACAAATTTAGTAAAATTTCATTCTAATCACTCTAAAAGATTAAGAAAGCATTCTGAGAATCTGGTGCCTTTTTTATGCAGAGGGAGGAGCTCTGAATATGGTTGAGTTTAGGAGTCAGCAACAAAATTACCTAAAGGTCAGGTAACCCTACATTGCTGTGTAACCTAGTGCGTCGCTTACTGTAAGCCCTCTTTCTTCTAGCCCTTGGATGAAATGCTGAGGAAAGCCCTCACAGGCCACCTTGAGGAAGTCGCTTTGGCTCTATTAAAAACTCCAGCCCAGTTTGATGCGGATGAACTTCGTGCTGCCATGAAGGTAAATGCCTGATTTAGGAAAAACTTCTTTCCTGAAAAGAATGTGTAGGCCAAATCCACGTAGGCCTCTTATTGTACCTTCAGCATCTAGTATAGGGCCTATCAATTAAGGGAATAGAATGCATGTATTGATTAATTAATTAAAATTGGCATTAATCGCTGTGTTATTCCCATGCTCAACATGTCACTATATCAACCATGTATCTCACCTTTTATATCTTTGTCCAAAATATTGGTTTAAAAGCCATTTTGTTTCTAGAGCAATATACCAGATAGGACTAATTGTAATTACTAAATATTGTGGGAAATGTACTAAATGCCAGATTCAAACAAATTTCAGGACACAAAAACTAGTTGATGCTCTCAAGTGAAGATTTTCCTACATTTCCTCTTCTCTTTTAATTCAGGGTCTTGGAACTGATGAAGACACTCTGAATGAAATTTTGGCATCAAGAACTAACAGAGAAATCAGAGAAATTAACAGAGTCTATAGAGAAGGTAAGTTTTAATGTCCAACAGTCCAAGTGCCTTAGTTGGAAAAGGAAATGTGATATACTTTTCTTAAAATTGAGTGTGGGTGTTAATTAGGGGGACTTTGGAAACTCTACATACTAAAAAATTTTTATTGTTTTCACATGTCTACTGTAATCACACACTGTTACTGGATAGCATTCCATTTGTTGGGGTGCTGAAGTGAGACAATGTTTGCACTTTTAATGGTTAATGTTTGGTTGTTAATCAAGTGTCCCTCTAAGACAAATGGCTGCATAGTATTGTAATGGAAGTCAATTCAAAGCATTAAATTCAAAGAATTTTCTAAAAATGTTTTCTGTTATCCTGAGATTTATTTTATTAGAATATACTGTTGTCTTTTATTTTGGAAAGGATAACAAAAATAAAAATACCGCCCCCCCCCCCAAATATATTGTCCATTTGTCCTTGGAAAGGTAAAGAGCTAGGTACTTAACAATCCTGTGATGGAAACTCTTACCATTATGAACTTTAGCATTATGCACATAAATGATTTGCTTATTTTTTATGTCTAGTTGCATCCATAGGGATGAAAGACCAAGCCATTCCTCATTTTATTCTATTCAGTGAAAAATCTCATTTAAATGATATGCTCAAGGTTGTAAAGAGGGTAGCTGAGCAATGCTGGGTCCTTCCTATTTTCCTTTTCTAGTTTCCCAAACCAATATGCAGCACCTGGAATTTGCACCCCAGGCACAGAGGATACAATGGCCCTTGCATATTGTTTTGGAGCAATTTAATAAAAGGATCAGGATAAGGAAGATTTCAACCTCATTTTCAGCATTTATCTCATTGTCAATATTTATCTTAGATCCATTTATAAGTGATAATAATCAAGAGGGGCATTATTTTTAGTTTTTTTTGTTCAATAAAACATAGTTTACAAAGGGAAATAGCCATATTTTCCCATTATACCCAAGATATAGTCCAGTGATAGCTTATTAAATTGCCCCATCTTCTGGTTAATTATAAACTCAGTTAATTTTCTCCTAATACAGCATTATTTTGCATAGTTAAGCAAGGGTGTTTACACAAATAAAAATTTTAAGTCTATCTATTTACATACATAACTAAACTATTATATATACTTATAATTAAAATAAATGAATAATCTATGTTCAAGCAAGTACTTCTGGTTTATTCTTTTAAATAACTGTTCTACTCACATTGCCTGAATTCTGGAATGTTTATTTCAGAAATAATTATTTAATACCCATGCAATTCATATTAGCAAAAGCTCTGTGACTGTAGGTTTTCATTATCTAAATTGCTTTCATTGCCTTAGGGGATATAAATTTGGTGATCCAAAGTTTTACTTTTTTTTCTGATAGCTGGTTCTCTGTCTTTGGATCTGTCCCTGTTCATCAGTCTATGTAGTTCTCTATATTCCACAAGTGAGATCATGTGGTATTTATCTTTCTCTGTTTTGAATGCATTCCATAAATCATTAAACACTTGGAATTGAGATTTTTAAGCTAATATAGAGATGTCTTGTATTATAAACATTGCCGTCATTTATCATTAATTTACTGCAATTTACTCCTCTTACTTTTCAGAACTGAAGAGAGACCTGGCTAAAGACATCACTGCAGACACCTCTGGAGATTACCGGACGGCTTTGCTCTCTCTGGCTAAGGTACGCTTCAAGTGGCTCAGGAAAGGCCTCTTCTTTAATGAAGAGTAAAATTTTAGATTTCATCTCACTCTAGAAATGAGCAATCGACTCTGTCTTTTCTCAAAGAATATTATTTATCTGAATTTTAAGAGAATTAAATGAATCATGTGATTCCATGCTAGTAAACAACTTACCAAGAGAATGGGATTTTTTTTTTTTCAGGGTGACCGAGCTGAGGACTTTTCTGCAAATGAGGACATGGCTGATTCAGATGCCAGGGTAAGCATTCTTCCTACCTCAAATGGTTCCTGCCTGACCTCCACATGGAAGCAAGCCTCAGATACTTCAAGAGGCCACAGGCATCTAATGTTCATTCCCTGAATGATGGGCACTGTTCTGTCCTTGAGCATCCAAGAAAAAAACATGCAGTCTTGATGTTTTCAATAGATCTCATTATTCATAAAGTTGGAAAGGGTTGAAAGGGAACAATGAGAATTGGATTGGTTGTCCCAAAGAATTGTTATATTAAGAAAACTCTGATCTTTATTTTATCAGGCATAATTTTTTATTAAGTGAAGTGGAAAGAGTAAGCACATCTAACTTTCTTTTAACAATGAACTTGGAATGGCTTGTAGATATAAGCTTATATTGTAAAAATGTTATAGTAATGGTATTATAATTATAAAACAATTACAATAACATATTTATATACTTTCAAGTATATTGTTATATGTCGTTTCAGTGAGATTGCTGGTTATTAATATGCCAGTCCATTGGTCGCATTAGAAAATGGTACCATTTTAGGGCCTGGAATTTCTGTTAAAAATAAATAAAAACTATTATTTGCATATTCCTTCCTCTTGGGATAGCATTGTCTCTATAAATTCATCACAGTGAGACAATAAGAATAGAAGGATATTTCTCTACTCCCACTCCCTTCACAGTAACAGTACATTATCTTGCACATAATAGGCATTCATTAACTTTTTGCAGAATAAGTGCATACTTATCAGATCAGTTTGCCTGAAAAGTCCAAAATAACTTCTTATGTCCATTGGAAGTTTGACCATTTTAATAGAAATTGTGTAAGCAAACCAAAGAACTGAACTTAGCACTTGAATAATTATCCATACTAAAAGTAATTCTTATTTGCTTGTGACATTTTTAAATTTACTTTCCATTTTAAGACTATCAGAGCTCTAAGATGTATATTTATGGCAGCTACTTGGATTAGTGTGTTCCAAGAGAATGATGGCAATTAAGATTTTAAAGTTAACAGAACAATATGTGATAAGGGGGATTATCCTTTTCATTTATAAAAGAGGAAAATCTATACTTTAATAAGGCTAAATTATTTACCTAAGATTACAGAGTTATTAAGTTGCAGAGTCAAAATTTGAATCTAGAAATTCTAACATCAAAATTCAAGACCTAGGCTATTTATGGTTGAATTGTTGATTTATTAGTACCATTTGCTGATAATTACTTTGAACAATTAAAAGTAAATAAAAGTTAGAGAGGTCTTTGGAGTTGTCTTAATATAGAATGTAATCTTAAAGCAATTTAATTTATCAAACGTTTCTTCTTCAAACATATATTCAGTCTTTAATGTTTGCAAGGCACCTTGAGAGATCATGTGGAAGATACTCTCAATCTTAGCGTCATGTTTTCTGATCCTTTGGATACAAAGCAGATGCCTAGAAAAACTTAACATTCTTGTGCAGATATTAAGTCAGCAGGTGGTCAAGCGTCTATTTTTGTGTTTCTTGACAGGCATTATATGAAGCAGGAGAAAAGAGAAAAGGGACAGATGTGAAAGTGTTCACTACCATTCTTACCAGCAGAAGCTTTTCCCACCTTCGCAGAGGTAAGAAGGAAACAAAGGGTTCCCAAAACCTGTTTATAGAAGATGCAGTTTTTTTGAGGGCAAATAAGAGAAAGGAAAGCAAAAAGTCTTAATCAGCAGCATCACTCATACACCCAATGAATATTGTATAGCGCTTCTGACCCCTTATTGATCTTTGTGCATTCAATGTCTTATAGGAATCGTTTTATAGTATTTGAAACACCTTTTGTGACTTTGGCCTTAGAGCATTATTTCTTTATTTTCACTATTTCTATTCCCCCAAAATATTTGGAGCAGATGTGACAAAGTATATACATACAACAGAATGCATGAAATGACAATAAAGAAAAACAAAAAACTCAGGACTAAGTAAAAAAAAAAAGTGTATATAGATGCTCCAGAAACAAAAACCAAAAGGAGTTTTCCCCTTTTAGCACAGATGTTGCTGAGCCTACTGGAAGCCACGGCAAATAGAAAGTCATAATAATTACCCAAAATTCTAATAATAGCACGCTGATTTCTAATGCCAAAATTAAGTGAAACTTACTATACGGATTTTTATATAAGCGAAGATCCATTTGCTATGGCACTTAGCTTTGATGTAGCAAGTGTTATGATTGTCAATCACATGCCATTTCTAATAAATGTCAACACTTGCAAAATTTTCCCCCAAATATGCAAGAACACCAAAATAGCCATGTGATTTACATTCATAGGAGAAGATGAAGTATCCAAACTATACTCAGTTCAGTAATTAGCTTTAAAATATCTTGTGAGGTGCAGTCATCCCAAGGAGTGCTTTGAGTCAGTTGCCCTGATTTTGCTAAAGTTTGCTAAAGAATGGGATGGTTTCTACATTCAGTGTTTAAATGTTTAAATGTCACATTCAGTGTTTCAGAAGTACGCCAAGTACAGTCAGCATGACATGACCAAAGTGCTGGACCTGGAGATGAAAGGTGACATCGAGAAATGCTTCACAACTATCGGTACGTAGTCCTGGAAGGAGAAGAATTTTCTAAGTGAAAATTGCATCATCATTGCTGTCCCATAATTAATAAACCAAAATAGAGCAAAAGCAAAATAACTCAGATATAGTCCATCTAAACTTCAGAGAGAGGCAACATGTGAGATAATGGCAATGCATAGTTAGCTAAATGTATACAACGGCCTTCTTAGTAATAACAGATATCATTCCCTTTAGAAAAATAGATATGCAGGTGGAAAATATGTTCTGAGCCCCCACTTATGCCACAAGATGCACCAGGCTGGACAATAGCACAGAGGAAAGTCAGAATGGTCGTTAAGATGGAATTTGGAATTAGATAACAGATTCTAATCCTGGTCTGTCACTTGCCAATTGGATAATCCTAGGCAAGCCCAGAGGTTTTGATTCAGTAGTTCTCTGATAGCTTCTGACAAGGTCTTTAAAAGAAAAAGACATTGAAGTTCTCTCATGTTATTCAGCTGACCAGGTAGGGCTGAGAACCTGTGTTCTAAAGCAGCTTCTTAAACACTAATGTGCACAGGAATCCCCTGGAGATTTTGTCAAAACACAGATTCCCATCTTACTAGGTCTGGCGTGGGGCCTGGGATTCTGCATTTCTAACAAACTCCCAGGTGATACCAATTCTTTTGGTCCAAGGATAACATTTTGAGTAGCAAACTAGATCATCTTACTAATTGACATATCTGTTAGCGTTTTTTTTTGGCAGCTGCCTCTTACAGCCTGTCCTTTCCCATTTTTTTCTTGTTATGACATGAAAAAAGCATGTATTACATGCCAATATGGCTTCTGACACCACCTGGTTTCCACATTTCTAAGAAGGGTATGCTCAGAATAGCATGAAGCTGCTATTGTTTGTCTTGAAGATCATAGGAGAGAGGTGATGGTGTTATGAGGAAAGAATATTAAAAACCAACATCTAGAGAATAGCTTCTCATGAACAAAGTATCCATATTGAGAAGGGGATGGGAAACAGGGGTGAATAGAATCTTGCTTGTTGCAAAACCCTGTATCTACTATTTCTTTCATATGCATCTTTCTTCTTTTGGGCCATATCAATATGTCACTAAAATGTGCCTCTCTTGCAGTGAAGTGTGCCACAAACAAGCCGATGTTCTTTGCTGAGAAGCTTCATCAGGCCATGAAGGTAAGATTCTACTTATATGATTTGCTTAGGGTGGAAATTATTGTTAGTGGAGAGAACACAACACCCCAGATTGTTTGAAAACTACACATTTTTATGAATATATTATCATTGGTTTCAGAGAGGAAAGGAGAGGGGAGAGAGAGATAAAAACATCAATGATGAAAGAGAATAATTGATTGGCTGCCTCCTGCATCCCCCTACTGGGGATTAAACCCGAAACCTGGGCATGTGCCCTTGACTGGAGTTGAACCCGGAACCTTCGTTCTGCAGGCTGGCACACTAGGGCATGAAAACCACACATATTTTAATATTTTTCCATTAAAAAGAATCATGGTTCCATCCAATGCAAGAGGTAAAACACTTCCTTATTAGAATAAAATGGTTAGATTTGTTGTATTTTTTATAGGTAAGATGGTAAGGCGAGCTTGTCGGTAATTTGTGAGTTACTCATGCTTTGCATAGAAGCGGAGTCAGCATAGGAAGGGTGATATAATTTCGCTTTTAATGAGTGATTTTAGTAACTTACGTCTGCTAAAGTTGTGAGTTTTATAATCTCTTCTAAGTTTAATTTGTTTTTTATTAGTCTGTCTTCCATGCCATCGGTTAATATGTCATTCTAAGCTTTTAAAATGTTGTGCTAAGATTACTGAAGTAGAAGGCGTTACTAAGATGTATTGAGCTACACTTCAACCATTTTAACTCTATTCTCCTGCTTGCATCATATTATATAGGATGCCATCTGTATACTTGTACTGTGAAAAGTTATAAAGTTGTCTTTTTTTTCCCTTTAGCAACTCCAAAAGAAGGAAGTCTTGAGATAGAGAGAGATCTAACCATTCAATTAATAGGAAAGAGTCCTTATGAAATGCTAGGCATTGTGCCATTATGTACTGGGCAGTACAGTTCCTGAGCCCAGATCTGCTCTATTTAGTGGGCTAATCCGATGGGTAATGATGAGCAGCTAGTATTGTAGAAGAAGAGAAGAGTATCCTCTACCCCTAGACTTTGGATGTCAATTGTAGCCTTGTTCTCAGCTAAACTAAGACCTGACAGTGAACAGGAATTAGCCAGATGTGAACAGGGCTGGAAGAGAAGGAGAGATCCAGTAAGGTTGGCCCAAGAGGAGGAGGTAGCATTACCCTTTCAAGATAATAAGTACAGTTAGAGCAATGGTGCATGGTAGAAGAGGTTGTAGAATTAGGCAGGGCATTGCAAGCCCGGATAAAATGCTTGGTTTTTATCCTATGAGAAAAAGACCATTGAAGGATTTCAAGTAGGTGAATTAGATGATCAGACTTGCAATTTAGATAGTTCACTGTATTTGTAATTATTGAATAGTTTAGAGAAAGGAAAGACTGGATGGTGGAAGGCCAGTAAAAGCTCTTAACATACTGCTGATGCAGCAGTTGGGTTCATAATTTTTATGAGACTTGTGTAAAGTGTGTGTGTGTGTGTGTGTGTGTACTTTAATGTAGAGATGGTTTCTCTATAGAACTATATGAGTTAACAAAAGAGCTTTACATTCAAACCCATATCCTGCTTTAGCATGAGTATGCTCTGAATACGAGACCGTTAACCCTCACTTGTTTTGGACAGGGTGCTGGAACACGTCATAAGATATTGAACAGGATTATGGTTTCCCGTTCTGAAATCGACATGAATGACATCAAAGCATGCTATCAGAAGTTGTATGGTATCTCTCTCTGCCAAGCCATCCTGGTATGTTATGATGTTGATAATGCTACTCCCACAAATAATATCCTTTTTGAAAGAGAAAGGCTGACTTACTGTATCTATAAATTTTATATGTAAGATTAACTCATTATATTAGGCTACATAATTTATAAGTAAATTTAACATTCACTGGTAAAATCTACTAGTAAGTTCTATACTGAAAAAATACTCAAAATTTTCAGCATTTATAGAAAATTTAGTTTCTCCTACATAAATTTAGCAACCAAAACATTTTTAGCAGGGAGATATAATGATTTATTTTGCAATGAATATTGATCAGAGGGTTAGAGACTTATTATTCTAAGTTTTTCTTTAATTTTTGTCATATGTAATATGTATAAAATACATGTTCATGTGTTCTCATTATAATACTAAGAAATAAAATATAATGCTATAAAGTAAAGGCAAGTCCAGGGTTTTGAAGTTATTGAAAGATGGGTGACTATTTAATTTGTTATATATAATGAATCACTGTAATCTACTGAGAAAATCACAAGCTTATAACTTTCTCTGGTGAATGAGTCAGATATTCCTTAAGAAGATCTGAAATGATCGTTGTGTTATATTTACTCAATTCTGCATGACATCTTATTCTTGGAAAATAATAGCTCTAATACACAACATAATCACTTCAGAGAAGTTCACAATCTGAATCTTGACAGGTATTGCTTTTACATAATAACCCACTAACAAATATCAGTTATCTGCTATATGAATTAAGTTATTTAATTAAATAAATAATATTCATATCGAAGATCCTAGATAATTGATGTACTGTGATGTAGGTTCTACTACTCTTCAGTCTACTAAGACTATAATTACTCTGTTATTTAAAAATACGTTATATTGATTATGGTGTCAGGTAGCATTAAGTAATACTCTATTTTTAATCAACAGGATGAAACCAAAGGAGACTATGAAAAAATCCTGGTGGCTCTCTGTGGAGGACAATAAACATTCCTTTGACGATTTCAAGCTTTTGATCAGAAGATTTTTAAATCATATCTCTATGCCAGG